ATTTACTTAAAAAGGTAGGAATATAAAATTATACATATAATATTTATTTAAAAGTTTATATTCCATAAGTATAGAATTACTGAGTTATATTAATAAAATTATAGAACAATGCAAGTTCTCTTTAACTGTCAGACCTATGCAAATAAGACAAGAAATGGATCACATTGTTAAGGATTTTGAAGCCCTAAAAATTCCAAAATAACACACAGGTAATATGGCATACCTAGAATCAAAGAAAAGATATTTTCATTTCAATAAGTCTAAGCTTATCTATTGAAAAAGAATTTTAGGTAGTAACTCAAGATGGCTGCAGCCCAATGGTTCCAACTAAGCAAGGAGTGCACCCAGACTCACAAAAGCATCAAGTTTTCTTCTGTTGTTTCTGCCTCCAGGAGAAGCCAGAGCTGGACTTACACTAGGGCAAGAAAAAGAAATCGCCTATTTTTGTCTTATTTCTTGTACCACAAGAAACTTGTGACTAATAAAGAGTTTCCAGAAGAGGATGTGCTGGAAGCAGTGAAGTTTCATAACGCTGCATCTCTCATGCAATTGCTAAGGAAAGGATACAGCACAATATGAACTGAACTTCACTAGGTTGTATAAAGCATGTAAACAGAATTCTGCAGAGTCAAGAAAAAAAAAAATGCCTGACCCAGATGGCTGTTACTTGTCTGATTATTGGAAATGTAAACAGCTAATCAAGATTGGAGTTTCCTATAAGGATGGAAATTACTGCTAAAATAATTTTACCAATGTCATTGTCTTAAGATCTACAAAAAAGGCAAAGATTCTTCAGGAGAGCAGATATCCAATATAGACTTAGAATATAATACTAAAATTCCAGGGAACCCTTCCACAGAACACATCCCTGAAGCTTGCTCCTATGCCACAGCCGAATTAATACCAATTGAAGCTAAGCCTACAGTGGATAACTGTTTTGGCTGCCACCAAAGAATTCCAAACCAAATCCAGGAAACCAAAAACAAATGACACTTCAGTCTGCAGAAACCCTTTCAAGTTTCTGTTTTTGTGAGTTGTAACAAAGCTTTACACCAGTAGCTGGATTAGTTTATCAGTTGAAGTCTTTATGCAAATTTAAATCAGAGGACGGCAAGATTTGGCCAAGTGATTTTTGCTTTGTATTCACCCCAGGTGACCTAAGAAAGATAGACTGGTTAAATCTGTCTTTCCTCTTCTCTTTCTGTAATTAAACTAAAGTTTTGAATAAAAGGTAGTTTACCCATATTTCTTATGAACAAATGCCTATTTCAGGAAGAAAAAAAAATGAGATGCAAAGGAAAGCAAAGACTGTTAAAATAGAGAAAAAAACTTACTCTAATTATATGCTGTCTATACAAGACTCACTTGAGATCCAAAATGAAAGTAAGTTGAAAGTGAAAGGACAGAAAAAGACATACCCTTCAAAATCAGTAATCAAAGAGAGCTGGGGTGGCTATATTCATATCAGAAAAATAGGCTTTAAAACACAAGTCGTTACTAGCATTAGGCAAGGACATTTTATAATAAAAGGGTCAAAATGTCAAGAAGATATAACAACTATAAACATAGATGCATGAAACAACAGAGCCCAAAATACATGAAGTGATAGACAGAACTGAAGAGAGAAGCAGACAACAATAGTTGGAGGCTTCAGTAGCTCACTTTCAATAAGGAACAGAACATCTAAACAGAAGATCAGTTTTAAAAAAAGAGGACTTGAATAATAGTATAAACTCACTAGACCTAACACATCTGTAGAGCCCTCAGGATCAGATTATTCTGTATTCTTTCCTTAACAATTGCACAAGAGACCCAGAATAGCCAAAATAATCTTGAAAAATAATAACAAAGTTGGAGGACTCACACCTTCCTATTTCAAAACTTACTACAAAGCTACAGAAATTAAGATTGCATGGTGCTGGCACAAGTATATATCAACGGAATAAACTTGAAAGCCTACAAAGGAATCTTCACCTCTAGGATTAAGTGAATTTTTAGCAAGTATGCTAAGCCCATTCAATCAGGGAAATAATAATCTTTCAACAAATTGTGCTGGACCAACATGTGCATGCTAACGATGAAATTTGATTTTTTTCCTCACCTCATATATAAAAATTATCTCAAATAGATAAAAGATCTAAATGTACGGGTTATTATTATAAAAGTTTTAAAAAAAATAGATGAAATTTTGAGTGTCCTTGCATTATTCAGTGGTTTCTTCAATATGACACCAAAAACATACTCAACCAAAGAAAAAACTAGATAAATTAGACTTCATCAAAATTTAAACCATCTGTGCTTCAAAAAACACTATCAAGAAAGTTGAAAGGATGTAGAATCAATAATATGTAAATAACTCTTCCAACTCAACAGTGTAAAACAACCAAATTTATAAAAGGGCAAAGAGTTTAAACAGATATTTCTCCAAAGAAAATATGCAAATGGCCCATAGACGCATACAGAGATGTGTCCCTGTCCACAATGGAAATGCAAATCAAATAATAAGATACCACTTTATGCCCATTTGGATGGCAATAATCAAAAAGACAGAGAATAGCAAGTATTGGCAAGAATGTGAAGAAATTCAAACCTGCATTCACTGCTGTTGGGAATATAAAACGTTTCTGCTGTTTTAGAAAACTGGCATCTCCTCAAAAGATGAAAAAGAGAGTTATCATATTACCGGCCATACCACTGTAAGTATATACCCAAGAGAAATAAAAACAGGTCTACATAAAAACTTGTACATGAATGTTTATAACAGCATTATTCATAATAGCCGAAAAGCAGAAACAACTGAAATCCATCAACAGATAAATGAATATAAACAAAATGTGGTATGTTAATACACTGAGATATTATGTGGTCATAAAAAAGAATGAAGTATTTATCCATGCTATAATATGGATGAGGCTTAAACCCATTTTGTTAAGAGAAAGACACAAAAGACCATATGTGTACAACACCATTCATATGAAATGTTCAGAATAGGTACATCCACAGAGACAAAAGGCAGATTAGTGATTGCTTGGACAGGTGATAGAACAATGGGTGAGGATGGAATGGAGAGTGACCGCTAATGTGTATGCAGTTTCTTTTTGGCGTAATATAAATAGTCTTAAATTGTGGTAATAGTTGCACATCTCTGGAAATACACTAAAAACCAATATACTATAAACTTCAATGAGTAAATTTCATGTTATGTGACATCTATTTCAATAAACATATAAAATGGGGGAGACTACTATTTAGCAGGCATAACTGCTTCTACAGCTTTTCTTCCTCCTCTCTCTTCCTAGTCCTTTAGCACTACAGCAAAAGAGTAAGGGCACTTGGGGGTAGACCCTGTTTTGATAGCTTAGAACAGGAGGGGTAAAGCTTTGAAAGATGTTAAATGCAGTGTCCAAAAATGTTACTTTTGTGACTGTCTTTAGAAATAGTTTTATTCAACGTTCTGTCCTTATGCCTCCTTTTGGTTTCTAATCTTAGCTAATGTTGTGACTCCAGTCTATACCCATAGTTGTATGTACCTGTTGCAGAGCTATTTGGGTGCTCCAGTGCATCTCCATCCCCACATATTTCCTATTACTTCATTCCTGGGAGCACCATATTGTTTAGCATCAAACCCTGTGATTGATCAGGGTTGGATGATGTAAATGGGAAACCCTCCTTTAGGCTGTTACCATAAAGCTTATGCCTGGACTTCCTCAGAGCTTGTGGGTCTCGGTGAGACTATTTGGGAACACTAAATGGCCAGAGTCTGGTTTTTCTGTTTTTGTTTTTCCCTGGATAACCTTCAGTATTATGTCACGTTCTACTCAGAAATATGACTTCTCTGAAAATGCTCTTTTCATAAAGAACTGACCCTAAGACTGATCTTTCTGGGTGCCTTCAATCCTATCATTCTTTATGTTCCATAGCTCATTGCTTACTGGGTGCGTCTGGAGTGTAATTTTTATAGTAGAGACTGTAAAATATCTTTTGAGCTTATCATATTGCTATGTCCAGTTGTGTGACTCTTCTATTGGCTTCTTACTTTCATTCTTTGTTTCCTTAGTTCTGTTTAATAGAATAAAAGCATACACCATGGGATGCAGGTGTTGATAAATATATGTATACGAGCTACCATGAGTACAGATGCTCGAGTGTTATAACTCTAGCCAGTGCTCAGAATGTTCATAGCTACAAAATATAAGATAATTACAGTGAAAACATCCATCACTTCTCCCTTCTAAGCTCCCAGACACCAAATCTTTTCAGAAATGAGGCTTTGAATGTATTTAAGAAAAAAAATGAAAATGAAATAAACAGCCATTTTACTAGAGTAAGACAATAGGTGTAAAAGAGGTACTCTTTGGCCAATTAGAGTAAGTCACGTTAGACTCATGAAGACAAAGAGGAGCTAAATTCAGGAAGTTGTGTCCAATCCATGCTAACTGTTTAGGTCCCAGCCCTTTTATTTCCTTTCCTAGGAACTTCATGCCGCTGGTCCACACCCAAGCTACATTATCAAGTTTTCCAGGAAAGAGAGCGGTGCTCTGGAAGAGTGGATTTCTTAATGATTATCTCGTGGATAAGTTTTATTCTGTTCGTCTTTTCAGAAGTCCTCAGTCCTATTATGTTTTTAAAAACTGATATTGAGCCCCAAACCAGATGACCTGTGAGACAGACACAGATGATATTTCTGCCCTCAAAACCTGGTTTTAATCAAGTTTTACATCTGATCGCCACCTAATAATATATTCAAAATTTCCGAAAGCTCCAGGAATAAGAGCAGGATTTATTATTAAGGTTTCTAGGCGGCATCTTAGTCAAACTGCTTATAAACAGAGCTTAGATCTTTTCCCGAAAGTCTTCTCTCCTTTCCTTCCTTCTACCCTTAAAGAGAGGCTGGCTTATTATTGCAGATTTCTGCCCATAATTTGGGTCAGCACTAATTTCCCCAGTGCCAGATACTGCCATGCTTGGAGCATCTTCCTTGCCTTTTTCTTTCTGCTCAGGCCTTGCAAGGACCAAGGGGATGGACAGGCTGAGCACTGAACAGACAAGTGTGGTGAGTAAACTGGCATCCCTGGGGTGGCAACAAGCAGTGTACTTTCTATTTGTTTCTCAGACATCAAAGACTTTTCCTTGTTGACAAGGTAGGGTGACTCCTCAAGGGCGATTTTGTTTCTGCACATTTTATAACTCTCAGGGGCGTTCGTGAGATGCAAGAAAAGAAGAAATGGAGACGCTCAAGGGGCAGAAGGAGAGAGGACACTGCTCCCTGCAGCATGGCTTTGATGGCCACAGTAAGTGCTCATTTGTTGGGGCCGTTGCCTATGATGTGTGTGTTTGAATAATGTTGAGATGCTGTGAGTGACATTTTGTTAGTAAAGCCAGAGAAGCAAGAAACAAACACTTAAAACCAAAATCATTCAGAACAATTCAAAATAACAGGGTGATCAAAAGTATACCAGACAAATGCTATCAAAGAGAAAGCAGATGTAGAAATCTTAATATCAGCAAGGTTGAAAGCCAGCCAAAAATAAATACCACAGTGAAGGGCAGCTTGTAATGCTATGGGGGGCAGTTCACACTAAATATATTAGCAATACTTATGAACCAAATGATATAACACGATCACAAGAGAAACAGAAGATACAAGCAGAACTAGAAGCACACCAGAGGCAGACAACTGTAATGCACCCACTTAGGCTGTGACGGGTACAGTAGGAAAAAAGTAACAGAGACACAGAAATGCTAAATAACCTGATCATAATGTTCATCTCATGATAATCCAAATCTTCCATTCCTTTTCTACACATTAGTCAAATACGTCTATTAAAAACTCATCAACTATGTTATTTTCCTGAGATCTATTTCAGACAAGAAGGAGAGGATGAATACCTGGCTTTGTTGTTGCTCTCTTATGCACCAGTTTTCAAAATATTGTTCACTGAGCACCTTTCAATGGTGGTCCTATGGTTGTGTTTTTGTATCATTACAAATTCACGGTTTTAAATACATTATCAGTGTTTCAATCCATTACAGATATTATTCATATTAATGGTTAAATTGTCCCATCTTTGTCCAGTGGGAACATTTTTTTTTCTTTTTGAGACAGGGTCTTGCTCTGTCCTTTAGGCTGCCGTGCAATGGCGCAATCTCGACTCACTGCAACCTCTGCCTTCCAGGTTTAGGTGATTCTCCTACCTCAGCCTCCCATGTAGCTGGGTTTACAGGCATGTGCCACCATGCCCAGCTAATTTTTGTATTTTTAATAGAGATAGGGTTTCACCATGTTGGTCAGGCTGGTCTTGAACTCCTGATCTCAGCTGATCTGCCCAACTCGGCCTCCCAAAGTGCTGGGATTACAGGTGTGAGCCACCACACCCAGCCAGGAGCATTTTCATGAAGGTTCCTGACTCCTTTGACATGACAACAATAATTTAATAGCTGCTTAAATTTCTAATGTGCAGATGTCTCAGGCTCATTTTATTCACTTCTTGCTCTAGGCCTGGAATCAGTCACTTCTCCAAGGAGAGCTGGTTCCTTTGGAAATAGTATTTAGAAATAATAATCTGGGTTCTAGGAGTGCTTATTGCTCTTGTAGGCCTTTTTAGTAGTTAAAGTAATATATATTGAAAATAAATCATATGTTCATAATGGTATTTCCAACTCAAATATACGAGTAGAGGAATTTTACTTATCCTTTTCACTTGTGCTTTTTTTTTTTTTATTGAGATGAGTCTTGCTCCGTCACCCAGGCTACAGTGCAATGCTGCAACCTCAGCGCATTGCAACTTCTGATTCCCAAATTCAAGCCATTCTTTCACCTTAGCCACCTGAGTAGCTGGGATTACAGGCACCCACCATCATGCCCAGCTAATTTTTGTATTTCTGTAGAGATGGGGTTTCACCATGTTGGCCAGCTGGTCTTTAACTACTGACCTCAGGTGATCCACCCACCTCAGCTTCCCAAAGTGCTGACAGGTGTGAGCCACTGTGCCTGGCCAAATTGTGCATTTCTGTATGCTTTTTCCCACAACTTAAATACAATCTTCCAGCATCAACGTAATTACCCATTAAATACACATGCAACATTCTAAAAAAAAACCCAATACCAATACTAGCACCAAGATATGATTACTGAAAACAGCTTATAATTGTTTTTTGTATTTTTGGTCTTTAGGGTGTAACTGCTAGTCATGTATAGTCAAATTAATGTGTTTTCAAGCTACTTGAAACAATTCCTCTTTTGTGTGGTTACACCGCCAACTCGATACACTATTGTGTTCTTTTATTCATATTGCTTTCAGTTTTTACAGAGGCTTTTAAAATGTTTACTGTTTATAATTATGTAACATAGTTACACTGTTTTAAAGTCTATAAAATGAGGTACATATATATTTAATTTTTTTATATGTTTGTATATGTGTGAGGGAAAACACATGCATGATTTGCCACAAAAATAGAAAAAGGAAAAGTTGCAGGACAATATTTGGTCACCACCTCTAAGATATGGAAGAGGTTGGAATAGATTTTAAGTTGGCAAGTCGTAGAATTCATGCCCTACCCTGTTATGTACAGTTTTACATGCATTTCAAGAGTTTCATTACATTCCCTGTGGCCAATACGTGGTTCTGCTCCAAAGGAAGGTTGAGAAGAAGCTTAAGCTTATTGGAAGTCTCCACTTACTGTGTGGTGGCCACCAACGTGCTCTCAGCGAGTGTTTTCTTTTATCAGATTACAAAAGACACAATGCAATAGCACTGTTCCTCCTGGCAGGTGCCAATGACCTCCAACCTAAGTGGAATATCAATTCCACTATTTGAGTCCAGTGTAAGTCTGAATTGAGTGTCATCACATAGAAGCTGTGAGAGCACACACTTTCTCTTGTTTATACTGGGAAACACATGACACCCTGAAAAAAGTGGGAGGTTTGAAAACTATGAATTGGATCTGAAGATGAAACATAAAAGTATCATGTTGAAGTAGCATTACTTGTTCCTTTCCAAAGCTAAGAGTCCTTCTACAATCTTCTAGCCATTTCTGATCATAATGTGTTTTCTACCTGTCTTTGGCAGCAGAAACAACTTTTAACCACTATTCAAAGTAGTCCCGCACTTTCCACCCAACTTTAGTTCTTATAGAAGATGTCAGTGCCTTGGCTATAATTCCAATGTCTCGTGGAACATTTTCCTAGAGACAGTCATACATATGCATCTAGAATATTCCTAATTCAAATGAACTTGTTAACTTCTACAGAGTCACCCTGTATAAGAATTCCTATAGCCCACGAGTACATCAGAACACTTAAGTCACAATACTGCTTTCATGCATGTGTCCTAACATTCTTCTTCTGAATGTTCCCCTAGAAAATGTCTTGGAAGCAAAAATAGCAAACATTTACCCAGGGATCACTAGAGGCCTGGCATCATTCTACAGCTTTGTTCTATATGATTCGACAGCACCATCTCAGTTAATTAATCACTACTGCAACCCTATGACATCTGTATACTACTGTGCTTTTTTTTTCTTTTTTTGAGATGGAGTCTCACCCTGTTACCCAGGCTGGAGTGCAGGGGCATGATCTCGGCTCACTGCAACCTCCACCTCCCAGGTTCAAGCAATTCTCATGCCTCAGCTTCCCGAATAGCTGGGACTACAGGTACACAGCCCCATACCCAGATAATTTTTGTATTTTTAGTAAAGATGGGGTTTTTTCATGTTGGTCAGCCTGATCTCAGACACCTGAACTCAGGTGATTCCTCCCATCTAGGCTTCCCAAAGAGCTGGCATTACAGGTGTGAGCCACCGTCCCTGGACCTATTGTGCTATTTTATAGGTGAACAAACAAAGGCACAGAAATATTAAGTACGTTACCGGAGAGTGCATAGCTAGAGAATGAAGGAGCCAAGAATCAAACCCAGACATATGACCTTGAGCCTGTTCTTCACTACATTTGGTGCCTTCCTAATGGAAAATGCTAGCAGAGAAGTTTCTCTATCATTTATATGCTTTTATGACACATCCTAAGGTTAGTGGGGCTACAAATTGTCTTTTGAATAAAAGCTTTGTCTTTGTCACAAGCATGAAATATTTTCTTTTAAATCAAATAAACCAATAAAACTAAATTATACAGCCCAATTAAAATGTACTTTCAACTTGCTAGGAACAAATTTAATAGTCTTACTTATTCAGAAAAAGAGCCATTATTTGAAATATATCTTCTTTTTGTATTTGCAAGCTGATTAAAATTTTGTTACTCATTTATCTAATGAGAATTTAATGGGTTACCTACTCTTTTTATCTAGGCTCATAAACAAAAAATCCAAAATCAAGTTGAAAGTTGAAGACATATATATTCATGAGACTATTAGAGAATACAACATTCAAATAGCAGCAGCTACATTTTAAATTTTGTTATTATATAGTTAATGCTGTGTTCGTGCTGTGTGTGTGATTGTGCAGTTATGTCTGTATGTGTAATATAAGAGACACTATTCTTCCCAATGATTGCACCTTTGGAAAATGCCCAAATTTATTGAGCCCCATAGTTTTTAAAAGCATTCATGGAATTATATACATATATATCTAGCCCACAATCAGTATTTTTTAGAGTTGCAAGAGCCCAGAATTTGGTATAAACTCAGGTCAAATTTTAGTTCTGTACTAAATAGTTATGTAACTTTGCACAAATTATTAAACCTTCCTAAGCCTGTTTCCTAACCTGAAAAAATGGAAATGCTACTGATCTTGTAAGGAAATTGCTAAGACTGAGGAATACATAGCATCTGGTACTTTAGATGTCATTTACAATTATCTTTTCCCTTCTGTCTTGCATTCTTTCCTCTCTTAGGAAAGGGGTGGTGAGCTATGGAAAGGTAGAGGTAGAGGTGTCTTCTGCTTAGGAGAAGCCTTTACTTGAAGGACTCAGCAAAGTCTGGTGGCATCAAAGAAGAGGGAGAAGGCTACATTAAGGAAGAGAGGAATAAATGGACCTAAACTTCCTTTCCACTTATCTAACCCATCTTACCAGGACAGAAAAGTAGTTAGGGATTCCGGTGGAGACGTAACTGACAAGCACTTGTTCCCCTTGGGTCATGTGCCCTTTCACACGTGCGTGGGCTGTAAAAGAAAGATGAGGTTCTTGGCATTGTAGGGAGGAACAACTTGGGGAGGAGGCTATTGCTCTTTGCCTCTGTGATGTGAGACTAGACTAATACTAGTGGACAGATGCCTCTGGGGCTGCATTGCAGAATGCCTGAGATTTCCCAGTCAATGAAGGAGCTGAGCTATTGTCACT